GCAGTTTCTTTCAGACCAGTTGTAATGGGAGCGACGGGCTGATTTGGGAGCGACGGGCTGTAATGAAAGCGACAATCTTTAAAGGGTCCGCGACATGATGATAGTAATTAATTTCCTGTCCCTATGTGGGACGTATTTGTGGCTCTGTAAGACCCGCCCTTGTTGTTTCCGGGGGCCCTAATATAACCTAACGGTTGAGCGGGGTTTATGGGACCTTTCTAAGAGTGATCCTCATCCGAATGGTGGCACTTTGTGTCACCGGGTGCTTATCGCTCTGAGTGATGTCCTAGTGGGGTTAAAAAAAAAGTCAGTCACCCATGATAATAATTGTGTTTGTATTCAAACAATTAACACACAAGGGAACAAACATAAAGCTAGTGACTAACACCTTATCTACAAGCCATGTAGTCGCGAGTTTGAAACCAAATGAAGACACCACATTTAACGTGCTTTCGTTTCCAGCTCAAAATTGGGTTTCTGTGGCGAAGTGGTCAAGTGGTCAAGCCATTTGCTATGCGCTGTTAAGGTTGTGGATTCGTTTCATGCGGTCGCCTTTCAGTTCACGAATACAGTTTTTTTTTTGGACACCCCCTCCCCCCAGAGATCGTCACAACAGCTGCGGAGGTGATACTCTGTGCAAAGCTCTCAGCAGGCAGCTAGCAGTTCAGCGGAGAGAGACTGAGCCATATAAGATAATACCCGGTGCACTGAAGTCGATCCTCTCACCTCTACCTTTACCTTTCCAGCACAAAGCAGCTTAAGAACGGTACCAGGAACTCTTCGAGGATGATATAAGAGTGTAACTGAGCTGAGAACCAGTATAGCAATACTCGGGACATCCCCATAAGTGTTCTGTTCTCATCTGCAGCAGCCTTAGAAGAATTTTAGTGCTGACAGTGTTTAACTGGTCGATAGAGAGAGATTCAGTTTCACAGAAGTTCACTGCGTGGGATCCCGGGCCCTATTCTAGAGAAAACAAGAACAGACCCACTGCCTCCCACAGAAGCATGTCGCAAGAGCTTCTGAGAGCTTCTCTTATAGACGGAGTGCATCTGCCTAAGAAACAAGAACCAACAGTCTGCAGACAATTAAATCAGATCAGTAAATCGAATGTGCATGCTAAACTTTAGATTCCTGAACATCACTAAATTCTATGGGTGGACGAACAAACAAAAGTTTCCACCCGAGTTTACAGCTCGTAAAAGCGAAGATGAAAAAAATGTCAACGTCACTGTGTTGGTTCTAGGCCCCATTTAGAAAAAAAAGGGGGGGGGGGGGGGGGGGGGGGGGGGGGGTGTTAATCAACAGCCTCCTAACAAACATGCGACTAATTATGGATGTGTCTCCGAAGTCCCAGTTCATCTGCCTGAAAGACTGGGGTAAACAGTGCGCATACAAATAAGACATGTGTGCAAAATGGATGTGCTCGCAAGACCTAACTTTGGAAACAGGAATAAAGTCTAGAAATGAACAAACGAGCAGAACGTTCACTCGGAGTTTACAGCTAAAGAACGCAAAGAAGATTGAGATGACAAATAAAGCAAGGAGTGAAAAAAAAAAGCGTTTTAACTACAGTAGTTGAGATTTACTTTTTTCTATGCAACGTAATGGTTTGGTGAACTGAAAATCAATGGACAGGAGAGACATCATCAATGCTTCAGAGATGCTTCAAGCAGAGTGGCTGGCTTCACTGGAAAGGTCACAGGTGGTATGCATACTTTGGATCTTTTCTGCAGGCTATGCCGGTGTGGTGGTTAATATATTGGCTGGATCCGCACCACTGGGTGGTGAGTTGACATGACAGGGCAGATGTGGTCAAGGAGCTTTAAGAACAAGCAAAGAAATCAGTAGAGAAAGTAGATTATTATGGCCTGGAGAGAATGAGGCACCTGTGTGTAACCAGAGAGTCTGGCCGGCTAACTACACTCAGAGGAAAAGCAAGAGAGACATATTACCAGATTGTGACCGGCACCATAAGAATTGAAACTCTGATGGGGACGGAGCATGCATAGGAATGGCCCGAGTGCTGTGATGTCGATTTTCGACTCAACTCAACTCAACTCATCAATGCCATGCGAGAGACTAAAAGCTGTGAGGATTTCAGTTTCTTTAAAGATGATGTATAACTGAATAGTCTGCTTGTCCTCTGTGTGCCAAATGAAACAGCGAGACAGGAAAACTACGCGGAAGCCATCGGTCGTAGCATCAGCCAGAACATATTGGTAGTTGTTAGCCTAAAAACACTTGGAGACATACTCATGAGAAGATCGGAGCACCTATGGTCATGCCCGACGCGCCATGAAGATAATCTTTAACTGAACAATGAAAAATAAGCAAAGATCTGTTTCAGTAACATTAGTTAGAAAAACATAATACGTTTCTGTATAGGTTTTCTACAAAACTTACTGGTTGTTAAGTTGTTTCAGTACCTTGTCTTCTGCAGGGGTGACAGGCATGTCAAGGTGCGTTCTAAAATATCTGACAAACGTGAAATCTGAACAGTTGAGCTCAGGTTGGCTCGGACGTCCACAGTACCAGGGGGTGCCGTTGATGTCCGTTAGGTTGCACAGCTCTAAACTGTTAAAGCCGGGAACTACAGGCAGGGCGTTGCATGGAACCCCTTCACTAGCCTGTGAGACAGTTATTATATTTCTATAACATAGAATGTTCATTATTTAAAATATTAAAGCATTGTGTTCAATTTTAGAATAAGATGATAACAGCGTTTAATTTCCCCCCTCCACCACTCCCCCCAAAAGGGCCGGGGTGGGGGGGGGGGAGAATATGAGGTATTACAATATTAGATAAAGATTGTTAGATGTTAAATATTAGAAGAAGAATACATAGTGGTAATTATTAGGAGAATTTATCATGTAAAGCACTGGAAGTAGAATATAAACAGTCGAGTGTGTATATATATATATATATATATATAGAGAGAGAGAGAGAGAGAGAGGGGGGGGGTGGGGGAAGACAGAGAAAGATTTCCCGATGTAATTTTGTTACATGCTATACTTTAGAAAAGCTAAGGGCTGCGTTAGCGCAGTCGATAGGAGACTCGCTCTCAAATCCAGCAGCGACTTACTGCAGCCCACGACCGGTATTCGAAACCGGGCTGTTCCCGGTGTTCATCCAGCCTCTAGGAAATGGGTAGCAGAGTAACAACTCTGGGGTAAATGGAGGAACGTCGCTGTAGCTACGGAGTTTCGTGCGGACGGCGACACAGGTGGACAGTTTTTTATCATCTGTACTGTTAGCAGAGCACTTAGGGTTTATAACCGTGTGCAATGACTGTGGTTCACATCTCCCGACTTTACCTATATCTTTACACTAGAAAAGCTAAAAATAGAAGAGGTAATTATGCGAGTCCAAATATGGTATGTTAAATATGAAAAGTTCAACAGTCACACTGAATAAAATTATTTCATATTTTGTTTTAACAAAAACCATGATATCGTGACATCTGTTATATCAGCTCGGTCGTGCTGAATGAAACCACCATTGGAAGTCAAGTGACAAGCAGGAAGGATAATAATGTATTATTACTTAACATAGAAATCTTAATGCTTATCCCCCTTGTAACGAGTAGTGCGGCTCCACGGCAAATAGGCTAGCGAATATTGCTGACAATTGCATGATCCTTCTGTACTGTGGTTCGTTCCCCACAGTAGGCGGGTTTTTTGTTTCCCACAAATGTAATGATGACAGTTGTACTAAAGAGATCAAGACAAATCCGTGATATCCCAGCAAAATGAGTTGAGTTGATTCAAGAATCAAGATCACAGTACTCAGGGAATTTCCATAAGCGCTCCGTCTGAACTTCAGCAGCCAGCACAGAGTTCAAGTACTAGTGGTGCCAGTAGCATTCTGATTGAACGTCCGTCTTGCCTGTCTTCTGAGCGTCTTCCAGAGCCCCTCTTCACTCCTTGTTGCATCAGTCCCACCAAATTGGTGATCCATTTGCTCCTCTAAATTGTACACACTCTCCCACACCATAACCATGTCTGTCTTATCATGCATCAGTATTATACCAACTTGTGCAGAGTCAGCCAGTCTGTCCGTCTGCTAATTTCCCAACACACCGGAGAAAAGATCCAGACAACACTCATTACCCGTGACTTCCGCAGCGAAGCATGCCACTCTGCACGAAGCATGACTGTCCTGATCTTCCTCAGCATGTGACTTGGTCACACCAGGAGAATGGGGGGATAGCACAGTCCCTAAGCACATTCATCTACAGGTAGAAGATGTCAAGTCCGACCTCAAATACGATACAAACATGTGTTCAAGCATGACATGAATTAAACAGGTACTGAGATGGACTCCTGTGAACACAATTTCATTATTGTGTTGTGTGGAGGGGGCATATCCGGAGGGGAATGAGGATGAAGGAAGAAATTATTGCAGAAAGGATGACAGCTGAGCGTCTGAGAAGAAACAGACTAAACACAAATGTTGACAACAATGGTCCTGAAATTCCATACTATAACTGTGGAAGACTTTTTAAAGCTGGCGGGTCTTTCTGGTATCACTCGCCATTGCCATGGCCTTACTGCTTCATAGCGTAATACAACACTATCGTCTGGAAAGATGCCAGTCAAGATGACGAATTCATACATCAGATTCTCTGTACACTGAGTGAGCTACGCCTCAGACCTGAATAGTTCCAGTATGTTGTGGATGATCTACCTACCAACTTGCTATTTAACACAACATACAGTGATGCACACTTGAGAGCTGACGTGGTGTAGCGGCTACAGGCTTGCCTGCAGATCGTTCGTAGGTTCAGGTCCTAATGGAGCGAAAATGAACTTGGCTCTCAGGTCCACCCAGCCTTAAATGGGGATCATGGGAAGTAAAGATGGCATAAGTTATGTTGACAACAAAACCCACTGAGTTTCAATTGGTCTATATAGGACTAACCCTATACGGCTAATGGGCATGAAGGGGTGGGAAAGGGTCCTTTACCTGCTTGCTTGATGCATTATTTAGTATCAAACAGATCAACATCATGTAAACAGTTTACCTTAGAATTCACGTAACTTCCAGCGTAGACGAAGGTAGTTTTAATAGCTCTGTGTACGTAAGCTAGGGCTCTGAAGAATTCTCTGGGTTGTCTCAGCGTGGCCATAACTCTGTGGGTTCAAACAAATCAGATCATGTTCATTGATGGCTTTAATTTAATGCCGTGATTAATCAATTCTTTTTCTCAACGACCCTGAGAGCTATGTCGGCGATAGCGTAGCCACCAGAAGGGTCTCCCAAGCCGGAAAAGTAAAGGTTAGAGAATAGACAAAGAGAGACAGCCTGGTTCTGAAGGTTAAGGGTCAAAGCTTGGGGCTGACACCACCACCTTCGCTAATCTTCATCTGGCCACGAAACAGATAGCTAATCCTCAATTTCGGACCCATCAAAGATGCAAACAAGTGGGGAATGGAGAGTGAGAAGCAACAACGGAATTCATAATCTGTTTAAATCACCATTGATCACTGGCATCATGAGAGCTAATATACTGAAATGGTTGCGGCATGTTGAGAGAATGTCAAATGACAGAGAAGTGAAAGCTTTATACACAAGGGAGATGAATGGTTGAAGACCACGAGGCAGACGGAGAAGACGATGGAGAAATAATATCCAGACAGACCTGCAAACACTTGGTGTCAACAACTGTAAAGAGAAGGCAAACCAGAGGGATGAATGGAGGCGGGTGATATCTACAGCAATGAACCTCAAGGGCTCGGAATGCCGAAGAAGAAGAAGAAGATTTATCAATTCTTAGTTATCATACGGTACGTCTGTTTGTTCATCTTGTTGTAATAGTTCATCGTCCTAATTCTACGGCATCGTTTGTACCGTGTTTTCACAAAATATAAAACAGGAACTCATGTTAATGTTTTGCTTAAAAGACTTAGTGCTTTTATGGGGAGATTTTGCGATAGCAAAAATCTTTGAATAAGAAAGACACAAACAATAGGTTACACAATTTATTGCCAGGAATATTTCGCTGTAAGTAATGGTGGTATTAAAGAAACGAATTATTCCTAAATGTGTAATAAAAGTCGATGGTGATATTTAGGACAAGTACAGAAATTTAGGTATCTTGGCACATGGATAACATCAGATGGAAGATGCATAACTAAGATAAGAAACAGAATAGTACAGGCAAAAACTGCATTTTATAAAATGAAAAACATCTTGTGCAATATATCCTTGTCATTGAGAGATAGAAAAAGAATTCTTGCTTGCTACATACATCCAGTTTTAACATATGGCTGTGAATCCTGGACAATCGGTAGGCAGGCCAAACAATTTCTTGAGGCCTCAGAGATGTGGTTTTACAGAAAAATGCTTAGAACACCTTGGACAGCCAAAAAGAGCAACCAAAAGGTTTTGGAAGAAGCGGGAGCTCAAAGACAACTCATCACAGACATCAGAAGGAGACAGTCATCATTTTTCGGCCATGTTATGAGAAGAGGGAAAATAGAACATGTTGTGACCACTGGAAAGATCTGTGGAAGGAGGGATAGAGGAAGACAACGAGAGCAAATGCTTGACAGTCTTGTTGCATGGCATGGAGGTGTGTCGTTACACGAACTGATACATGCTGCAGAAGATCGCAGATTGTGGAGAGGCATGATAGCCCACGCCAGTCCGCAAGGTACCCGATGATGATGATGATGAGAACGGTAACAAAGAAACGAGAAGTCCAGCCAGGGATTCGGCTTTATTACTTTAAAAAAAGTTCTCTATTTCGGGACATGTTTAATTAAGATACTCATAAATTTAAGGAGCTACGTGGTCTTGAGACATGGTGTTTACCTCCAGTGATAGAGGTTCTGGGTTCAATTCCCGGTAAAGGCTTGGATTTTTTTCACGTGGACTTTTACTTTAGTAATTCCCCCTGGTCTCTGGGTAGTGAGATCGGACGGCCGTGTGCATTGTTGAGCACGTAAAAAATCCCTTGGCGGTTGGAAATCGAAAAGAGTAGCCTAACCACGCTGCCTAGGCAAAATTTAGAGTTAAAATCTACCCAAAGTATTTCAGAATCCTCGCCTGTGCTACAGAGCCTGTGTACTGTGCTGAGCAGTTTCAGCACAGACTTGAGTTAGAAGAATGTTTGTTTGTTTTGTTTTAGTATCCAGAAACCATGAGTTGTTAACCCTTAGGCTCGGTATTATGGATATCGCAACCTTTCGGCCTTGATTCCATTTTAAATTCCGTAAATCTGGGAGAAATGTGGCTTTTCTGCCCACCCCCGGAAGCTAACCCGGACCACAAGGAGTTCGTCACCCGCTCACCGCGCAATCCGGTTTAGCCAACTACGCTAAAGAGACGGGCATAGTTAGAAGAATAACGGAGCACTTACGGGTTACACCAGTCTGCCATAATGTTGATTCGTTGTTCAAAAACTTAAACTCATAGAGCTAGGTTGAAGAAGAGAATCGATTGGTGGGATAGAGAAAAGTAAAGGGTCCTTTTCCACGCCTTCACGCGTATTGGGCATATAGGGCTGGACCTATATTTTGTAGACCAGTCGGCACTCCCTGGATGATGTGGTCAACATCACACTGTTTACCTTTACTTCCCAAGTGGTACCTGGCATCACCTCAAGGCTGAGCAGCATGGGATCCAAAATTCTTCTTCTTCTGCCTTTAAATCCCCCAATGGAGCATAGGCCCTCAACCAACTCACGCTAAGTCGTTCTATCCTTCGCTATTGAATGGAGCTTTCCCCATGTTCTCCCCATCTTTTAACTTCATTCTCCTCTCTCTTGTGGATCCAAGGTTATTACTGAAAAAAGTCCCCCTCTGTAAGGACCCGAATTCAAGACTTTCGGATCCGCAGGAAGGCGTTTAGCCGCTACATTACGGCCGACCCTAGCGAACAGAGGAAGATGTGATGGATGCTGTTAACCTACCGAATATTTCCAGCCCATGGTAGTATAGTTGTTGCCAGGTAAGTCCCATTGTTGAAATCGGTGATTTTTGTGCTAATGCTGCGCTTGAACTGCATGTCTTTCAGCCAGACTTTGATCCTGTCTCCCCCTTTCAAACGTGGCCTGCCTGCTTTGTCAAACATTTTGATGACTAAGGAAACCGTGTCACCGACGAAGAAGATCTGACTGAAAAGAGAACAAACCAACTATTAAACTTTTATTAATTTCTTTATTGATGTATTTATTTATTTATTATGGTCTTTTTTTTTTTTTTCACCTCCTCTAGGGGACTCCAAAATTTCGTAGGGAAATCCCGGGAAAGTCCAAAAGAATAGGGTTGTTAGGGAATGAAATAAGCGACGACTATTGCTAACCCCACCCCCTCTTCCCCCACAAATTTTGCCGTATCACCTGTAGATGGGTCGAAAACGGGATGTTGGATTTTTTTTAAACTTTGTGCATAACCCCCTAGCTACAGACACCAACAAAGTATGGCAGGGAGAACGATTTTGCCAGCATGCTGTATATAGAAAAAAAAATACATTGTTTAGTTTACATAATTGTTATATATACAACAATATTTTTAATTGTACTAAGTTTAACACAGTGAGTGCCTGTGCAACATTTATCATCAAGTGCCTAGCTGACTAAGGAGCGGCTGGCTGAACAGTTAAAAAACTGAGCGCTCAAGCGGAAGACCCAGGTTCGAATCCTCGGTAAGGCGGGATTTTTTTTCTGTCGAGGAAAATAAAATCTTTACCTGCACAGTTGTGGCGACAGCACTAGTCATGCGGCCTTAACTCCTCAGACTCGAAGACCCCCTCCCCCCTGTCTACACCGCAAAAGTGGTAAAATAAAGGCAGTAATTGGCAGTTAGCCTAGCTGACGTATGTGTAATCATGCCTGACTGTCTGGTGCTATCTTCAGACAGCATGTATCAGTTCGATTGTTGACACTTCTCCATGTTTTGACAAAAGGGTCTCAAGAATCCTTTCGCGCCCTTTTCCTCTTGTCCATTTTTCTACAAACCTTTCCAATTGACACAGTGTGTTTCAGTTTCATTTTTCTAATATCTAATACCTGAATAAAATGACTGTCTCTTTCTGATATTTTTTTTATAAATTGTTTTCTAGCCCTCACTTATCTCAAAACATCTGTGCTGTTCTGTTTGCAATTTACTTCCGTACATTGTCGGCACTCTTGGGACTCTACTGACTGATAAAAGGGAAAGGCGAGACGTATGCCCAATCAGACGGTTACTAGTATCATCGGAATTGGAACTCTTAGCTTGATGCTGAAAATGGGTGATGAAGCACTTATTGGAGTGTCCCGAGTGCTGTGATGTCAATCGTTAATTCAACATTCAAGACTATGGTGGTCTCTTGTACTATAAAGGAGCTTAGAATCACACCCCATTGCTGTGCCAATGAAATAAATAAGCTCTTTTGCCAAGACTAAGTGCAGCCTCTCCAGCATGCTCCATATCTCGGTCTGCTTTATCTGTATAGGAAAGGTAACATCAGTATGACTTGGAAAAAGAGGCATGCACAGAATCTGACATCTCCGAAGAACAGTATTTTCTGCCCACCTGTCGGAGCTTCCCTCTTGGACGCAATGCAACAAAGGCTAAGGGTCTTGTGTTCTGCCTTGCCCTAAGATTAATATATGAGGTTGCATTTCTTCTTTCTTTGATATCCTCAATGTATCAGTCAATTTATTTCTCATTTCATTGCCTATTTTTTATTCTTTATTAGCTTTTCCTCGAAATATACCCATTATATGTCATCTTTCTTTCATAACTCTCTTCTTTTATCAATTACAAAACTTGATGAGACAATAGAGGAGTTTGGTGTGGGTTTGATCTCTCACGCGGTAAAACAATCTATTTGCTGGAGAAACTTGCAAAGTGACATTTAGTTATTCGTGAATCACTAGGATTATTATTATAGTTCTGGAAAGATTCATCGTTCCCGCGATCTTCTCCTCACTAGCTCTATAAGGATTAATCACACCTTGTGACTTTAGCGAAATTATCATGTCTGGCAGCTCCATTTTGAATTTACGTTCCACTCACATGGACAAGGATACTGCGTCACACTTTTTGATCAAGACAAATGGTTTCAACACGTAGCCATATTCCTTCATGTAAGTATTTCTTATATTCTGCTTTGTGCCGCTTCACATAAACAGATGATTGGTATCCGAGATAGGGCACTGTCAATTGCCCGGTGTGCTGTAATGTTGTGGAGTCTCAAGATTATCGGTGACTCCATCCATCAACCTACTTCCATTCTGTCATCGACTTCTTGGTGTTTCTACTTTCATTTTGTACGCTCTAGCTGCTGACACCATTGAATTCATTCTCAATGGCCAAACCATTTCAGGTTTACTTTTTAAATTTATTTAAATACTGGTGTTCCAATTGTTATTTTCCATTTTTCGTTTCTTACGTGAACTCTTGTTTACGGTCTTTCTCAAGCATCTAATTTCGCAGATGGTCAGTTTTTATTTCCTTCTTTTGTCGATGTCCAAGTATGACTCTGATAGCACAAAGCTGGTATAAAGATTGCATTTATCATTTGTCTTTTCACCAGGTGTTTCGAAACTGTGGTCAACTGGTACGTGACATTGATGGCTTTTTAGATTCTTGTTTGTCTCTCTGTCTTTTCTACTGTCAGAAGTTCTCAGAGTCTTTCAGTTTTGAACTGATTTTAAATTTGATATTTGATATTTAAATCGATTGTTTGATGTCCTTTTGATATTCACACGACTTCTGTGTGTCTTTTCTGTCCCCAACCCCTCCCCCTCCCTGTATACTGGAGGGGTGGGGGGACGACGCAAGATTCGTACGATGCAAACTTACTTGGAGCCCAACAGGCTTATAGTTGAATTGCTGTGGCTTGCAACTGTATTCTCATCCCACAGTGGCGGTTCTGACAGATAAAACACCTCAAAGGGATAAATTTCTTGACAAGGTTCCGCATTCAGGAATTCTGGGTAAAGTACTCCACCACATCTGAGTGAAATCGAAGAGAACAAGGATTTTTGAATGTTATTTTTAGGAAAGATAAAATTAAAAGGTTGTTGAATATACCAGGTCTAATGGTATCGCAGATCAATCGTAGATTTGCAACACAAGACGGGGCAGGGTTACACATACTACCATTAGAGAGAAAGTTGGAATTTTACCATATCAGGATTATACCGATTAATAATGAAATGGTTCGGCCATCTAGTGAAAATGGGGCCAGACCAAACAGCGTTTATACTTTGTACAGCAGGACATTTCGAAGAAAGGTTAGAGGAAGATTCAGAAAGAGATGGATGAACAGTGTCGCTGAAACCTGGAAAAAGATGAACAAATCCATCACCCAAGGCACCCGAGAAGCGTAAGACAAATACAGGAAACCACGACAACTGGGTTACAACCTGGTATTCCTGAAACTACAAAAGAAAATGAAGAACCTTAGATGTAAGCGTGTGTGTGTGAATATGCGTGTTGGTGTATGTGTGTGTGTGCGCGCGCGCGTGCGTGTGTGTGCGTTTGTGTGTGTGTGTGTGTGTGTGAGAGAGAGACTTGTGTAGTTTTACTGAGCAATGTTATGTTTAGCGCTCTGTCATTACAATGAACGGTCGAAGTTCATACCATTTTTACAATGAAAACAAAGCGGTATGTTGCCAAATCGCAAGCAGCTGAGTCGAACATGATGCCATCAAACTGCTGGAATAAACACTAAACCACAGACGCCCATCCCCATAAGCTCCCCCATGCCCCCCCCCCCCTTCCTCTCCCTTAGTAAAAGAAAATAATTAAAAATTAGAATTGACATTTGCCTGAAATGAGGTAGACTATAGGCTGAGAATTGGCTTTGTGACTCAACCCTAGACCGCACGGAATTTATGAAGAACAAGTAACTATGTAAAACTCACAAAGAGGCCAGCTGAATGCGCTGCATGTCTATATTTGCTGTGAACTTGTTGCCTTTTGAGGGTTGACTCCTCCAGTATTTGACCGGATCTTCTATAGACTGGCAACCTGGAGTCTTTTCTCTCAGTCGCTGCAGATAAACAAACACAAGGTAAGTTACGGTGAGGTGAGATGAGGTAAGTGAGGGGTAGGATAGGGTACGGGCACAGACAGACAGACAGACAGACAGACAGACAGACAGACAGACAGACAGACAGACAGACAGACAGACAGACAGACAGACAGACAGACAGACAGACAGACAGACAGACAGACAGACAGACAGACAGACAGACAGACAGACAGACAGACAGACAGACAGACAGACAGACAGGCAGGCAGGCAGGCAGGCAGGCAGGCAGGCAGGCAGACAGGCAGACAGGCAGGCAGACAGACAGACAGACAGACAGACAGACAGACAGGCAGGCAGGCAGGCAGACAGACAGACAGACAGACAGACAGACAGACAGACAGACAGACAGACAGACAGACAGACAGACAGACAGACAGACAGACAGACAGACACAGACAGACAGACAGACAGACAGACAGACAGACAGACAGACAGACAGGCAGGCAGGCAGGCAGACAGACAGACAGACAGACAGACAGACAGACAGACAGGCAGGCAGACAGGCAGACAGGCAGACAGACAGACAGACAGACAGACAGACAGACAGACAGACAGACAGACAGACAGACAGACAGACAGACAGACAGACAGACAGACAGACAGACAGACAGACAGACAGACAGACAGACAGACAGACAGACAGACAGACAGACAGACAGACAGACAGACAGACAGACAGACAGACAGACAGACAGACAGACAGCATGATTTTTGATAGGGCTGAAAACTAAGACACTTTTGTCAAATATTTAAAAAAAAAACTCTCTCCTTACAAAACCGAACAAACAAAATCACAAGACTATAAATCCTCTACTTGAATTAGCAAGTGAATTGTGAAATTAACTTTGTCTCTGCCACTTTGTCTTTCTTTGAATCGAAAACCGCAATAAATCACCCGAAATTGGAGTTTCAGGACTCGTTCGAGGGGGACATCAAATGAAACCGTTACAAGTGTAATATAAATGGTAACAGCCTGGCCATTGCTTTGCAGCCTGTCATTATTGTTGTTAAGGATGTCAATAATGTTAAGCACGCATCGCCACCGTTTTCGTTTGCATCCTGATGTCACGTGTTTAACACTGCTGAAATCCTTAACAACAATACTGGCGGGTTACAAGTTAATGATATGGTTATGCTTATTTCTATCACACTTTTAAGGTTTTCATTCAAATCACCCCTCCCCCCTTCCAGGTATATTCGAATTCCAGTTCTGCTAATTTTAGTGGCAGGATAGTTTGACCGTGTTGGATAACTGGCCCCAGGGTCTGACTGTGTTATGATACAGAGATGCGACTGCATCAGGCGGCACTGTAAGGGTGAGGAGCGGCACTCTAAGGGGAGGGGCAACACTGTAAGGGGAGTGGGCGGCACGGTGAGGGGAGGGGCGAAAATCAGCGAAATTAAAATACAATTTTAACTTTAGATCTGACATGGCGAAGCAATTGGAAGCGCCATTTCGAAGACTTGCATCATATTGAGAAAATCTACTGCAGGAATCATCCGCGAATCATTTTCTTCCGGAAAAGGAGAAGAAATAAGAGACATGTCTGAACTTCTTCTTCGTTTGCATTCACTTTTAAACGGGCGGTTGGCACCTTATGTTTTTTGTTCACAGCTTTGATACAATGTCGTTTAGGCCCACATCAGCCATATTTCAGAATTAAAGTTTTGCGTGCACATCCGTTTTACAGATCTGGCTTATTTGTATGCAGACTTTATGTTACTCGCCTATTAGACAGATGAACTCCGACCTCGGACGAAACAACCCGGATTAGTCTCTTCTTCAATAAGCTTGTTAAAGAGAGGGTAGTGTATCAATACCATCCCCCTTTCCCAATAGGGCCCGGGAAACCTTCACGAGGATAATGTTAGTATGTAAATTGACTGAACAGTTTCAGTTCTGACTTCATCCATCCTAGGCCGACGTCAATCTACAACCGGTATCAGACAATGTCTTGGGAAGTCAAGACGACCGCCATGATATTGTCCTCATCAGCCACCTGTGTGGATATTCCCGATGCGACAAAGCCGTGATTTTTTTTTTAAACTACATTTTCTTAATGTGTGTTTACTGCAGCCACGCGTTCTAAGCAGTTACTTGCACACAGATGGTGGCTATATGCTGGGTACATCCTGTTGATAAGCTAAAAGAGAATCTCCAAATAGGTGCTCACAATGATGGGAAACAAACGGATTGAAGAAACAATGGATGCTCAAAATTAACATTCAAATGAAAGCTGGTGAGAGAGGCCAAAGTCGCTAGACCAGAATCCACTCATGATATCTAAAGAATTGCACCGGATTTAACCGAGTGATATAAACATGCCGGCACAAAGAAAGGTGATGATGATGACGATGGTGATGATGACGATGATTAAGGGTTATATGTATTAACTCTTTGAGTCCCAAGGAACGCATCATACGTTCATAGATTCCTACCTAGAGGCCCAATGAACGCATGATGCGCCGATTTTACGTCTCTCTTGACTACCCCTTGGGCCTGTGATGTTAAACTCCCTGGGACTCAAAGAGTTAATCTCACCTTGCGAATTGCATGGACGTCCACGTACACCCCTACACCACAGTCATCTGATGAGAGCGAATCTTGTTTGTTTGATTGTCTTCGAAGAGTATGACCATCAGTGATGTTCGTCGGAATTGTCCAGTGTATCATGCATCGAATGTTACTTTTAGATTCAGTGAAGGTCTGTATCCAGTTCAATGATAACATCCTGTTAAATTTATATCAGCCTTATAATTAAGGAAGAAATTGAAAAAAAGAACGTGTTTTCACAAGATAATTTTATTTTGTCGTCGTCATCATCTTTTAGCTGGTTTTTTTACAGCACGGAGCTTTCGCCACGGCACGTCGGAAAGATTCTCTTTCACTTGCCTATTCTCCAACCCTATGTGCTTTCATAGCCAATGTGTCTTTAATGCTCTGTACTAATCTACGTTGAAATGGGCGTCAGCCTCGTTTTTGTGACTGCTTCCGCGCATTACCTATTATTGGGGTTTGAGGTTTGAACAACTTAACAACGTCATGGCACACGGGTAGTGACACGTAAGTGCTCAGTTCTTCTTTTAACTCAAGTCTGAGTCCCAAGAAGCTCAGCACAGTGCACAGGCTCTGTAGCACCCGCGAGAATCTTTAATACTTTAGGTATATTTTCAACTCAAAATTGTGCCTGGGCAGCGCCATTAGGCTACTCCTTTCGACTTTCAACTGTCAAGAGATTTTTTATGTACGCAACAATGCACACTGGCGTCCGATCTCACTACCCATAGACCAGGGACAATTATTAGAATTCCAAGTCCACGTGAAAAAATTCCAGCTCTTACTGGGGATTGAACCCGGAACCTCTAGCACCTGAGGTGGACACAATGCCTAGAGATCACTTTCAATTATTGATCGCTACTAAAGTTTAACAATCAAAATTTGTAATTCTTTTGTTTTTGTTTTTAAATCCATTTGTTATCGATTTTAATACGAGATTTGTATGCTGTATTCGTTACTGTAATAATTAATAAAAAATAAATTTAACTACAAATTTAAAAAAAAAGTATAACAGCTCATTTAGTAGAAAGATACCGACGTAAGGTAGTGCTATGTCTCCGCAATTGGTGCATCGGCTATACTGAGCTAGACCCATTTTTTTAAAAACCAGTTATTGAATGATGTAATCAGTATTATAGTGGTCACCTATATTCTCTAGGAAATTACCTAGCACCCAATTCAGAATAGCTTACCTGGGAACAAAGGTCGTTCGGAAAAAAAAAATAACCTGCTATGATGCAGATTTGAACTCAAGACCTTTGGATCAGCCAGCCAGTGTCTAGTCGCTGTGGCACCCGTAACTCGTTAAGTCATCATAGTCAAGTGCCTTCCCAGCTGGAGTAGATCACCACAGATCTC